TCTTTCAAGTCGCACTGACATCTGACTTTGAAATCGTGCAAATTCAAGTGAAGTCAGCTTATTTCAAAGTCAGATTTGGTGTGACCGAAGACTTAGTCTTTAAACAAAACAGATTAATATTCCTCCCACTGACACCAATGGTGGGACGCTATTCATCCCACTGACACCAATGATGGGGTGCTATTCTTCCCACTGACACCAATGGTGGGAGCTATTCCTCCCACTGACACCAATGGTGGGGAGCTATTCCTGCCACTGACACCAATGGGGGGGGTGCTATTCCTGCCACTGACACCAATGGGGGGGCACTATTCCTGCCACTGACACCAATGGGAGTGTACTATTCCTGCCACTGACACCAATGGGGGGGCACTATTCCTGCCACTGACACCAAAGATGGGGAGTTATTCCTCCAACTGACACCAATGATGGGGAGCTATTCCTGAAATGACACCAATCATGAAGAGCTATTCCTCCCACTGACACCAATGATGGGGGGGAGCTATTCCCCCCCACTGACACCAATGATAGGGGGGCGCTATTCCTACCACTGACACCATTGATGGGGCACTATTCCTCCCACTGACGCCATTGATGGGGCACTATTCCTCCCACTGACACCAATGATGGGGCACTAGTCCTCCCATTGACACCAATGATGGTGTACTAATCCTCTCACTGACACCAATGATGGGGCACTAGTCCTCCCACTGACACCAATGATGGGGCACTAGTCCTCCCACTGACACCAATGATGGGGCACTAGTCCTCCCACTGACACCAATGATGGGGCACTAGTCCTCCCACTGACACCAATGATGGGGCACTAGTCCTCTCACTGACACCAATGATGGGGCACTAGTCCTCTCACTGACACCAATAATGGGGCACTCTTCCTCCCACTGACACCAATGATATGACACCTTCTTAAACATAAATAAAACTAATAAAATAACTTCGAGTCATTAACGTACATTTTAGCAGCTGTTTGAAATGTTTAGCAGCACAAGGGTTCCATGTGTCCCTCTTGCAGCCCCCAGTGTACAGTATGTGTGATCTCCTACCTCCACATGCTACTCTCTGACTTCTATAGTCACTGGAACTCCAGTCTCCCTACATTGAATAGGATCCTTCCTGCTCTGGGTCACATGACCATCACAACACCAATCCCATCATGCTTCACTCCTTAAAGCTACACATCACCTCGATGCAGAATATGATAAAATACATCATGTTGTAAATGCTGCGAAAACTGTTGGCGCTATATACATCCTGTATAATAATAATACAGTCACTATACACAGTCAATAGACATGTTAGGCAACCCTGCCTCCTATGCCATGAGGAGGTGATGTGTTCCTTTAAAGGAGAGCGGCATGATGGGATTGGTGATGCGATGACCATGTGACCCAGAGCAGGAAGTAGAAGAGTGATGAGAGCCATGTGTAGAAGTAGGCTGTATATTCAGGAAGTGGAAGCCAGGATCAGAGGTAGGAAATCACACATCCCCTGGAGGCTGGGATCTACAACATGGCTCTTCTTGCAAAAGGCAATGATCTGTATGTGAAGGACACTGACATGTACACAAATAGAAGTGGATATCTACAAACACCATCACCATGGCTGGACCGAAGCTGAGCACAATGCTGGATGTCCTATACTCCAGGATTCTGCATCCAAAGCCTATGGAAAGGAAAGGGCTAGTTTATACTGGCGACTGGAATTGCTGCTCCTCTGAAAAGTGATCTGTGGTGGATATCTTTTCAGAGGCATTTGGCACGGAGGTGATGTGTTGCCCACAGGACGCAGGGTGATCTCAATCACTAGGGATGAGCTCAGGAGTGTCTGGATACAACTCCGAACCCACCTGAGCTATACGAGGAAGCGTATCCACTAGTGGTGCACCGATATTAAAATGCTGGTAACAAAAATTCAAAATGCACTTGGCCGAAAACCAAAATGTGCAGTTTTTAAAAATAAAAATAAAAATGTAAAAAATACTTTTTGATTAAAAAAAAAAAATGCCACATTTTTGTTGTAAAATATGTAAGAGGATGTTACGGCGAGTAATTAGATACCCAACATGTCACGCTTTAGAATTGCGCACGCTCGTGGAATGGTGTGAAACTATGGTACTTAAAAATCTCCATGTGTGATGCTTTAAAAATGTCTACAGGTTAGCAGTGTAAAGTTATAGAGGAGGTCTAGTGTGCGAATTATTGCGCTTGCTCTGACGTTCATGGTGATACCTCACATGTGTGGTTTGAACACCATTTACATATGTGGGCATGGCCTACGTATGCGTTCACCACTACGTGAGCATGGGACGAGAGCACGTTAAACTTTTTTTTTTTTTTTTTTACTATTTAGTTAGTGGTTTTTGTTTTTTGCACTGTCCCTTTTAAAAAAAAAAAAAAAAAAATGTAATCACTTTTATTCTTATCACAAGACATGCATGTATACCTTGTGATAGAAATAATTAGTGACAGGTCCTCTTTATGGAGAGATATGGGGTCAATAATGCAGGCCATGGACAGGCCATTTATTGGCCGAATTTTCGGCGGATAAATGAAAAATTGGTTGTTCCTTTGGCGATGCTGCCACCAATGTCCACAAAAAACGTCTGTTTTTTGTGGATTTTCCAGCATGACCAATAAAAATAAATGAGAAGATCCGCTAAAAACAGCCGACGGGCTGGCCCCACTAACGGCGTGACTATCGGCCGTTTTTTTTTTTTCTTCATGCGGACGAAAATTCGGCCGATAAACGACCCGTCTATGGCCTGCATAAGACAGCTCATCTCTCCTCTGCATTGTAAAGCATTGATCTAGTGCTTTAACCACTAGCCTACAGGGCACTTATACCCCCTTCCTGCCCAGGCCAATTTTCAGCTTTCAGCGCTGTCACACTTTGAATGACAATTGCGCAGTCATGCAACACTGTACCCATATGAAATTTCTATCATTTTTTTGAAACAGAGCTTTCTTTTGGTGGTATTTAATCGCCTCAGGGTTTTTTATTTTTTTGATAAACCAAAAACAACTGAAAATTTTGAAAAAAAAAATGTTTTTTTTTCTTAGTTTCTGTTATAATTTTGTAAATAAGTGATTTTTCTCCTTCACTGATGTGCACTAATGAGGCTGCAGTGATGGGCACTGATGGGCATTGACAGGCATCACTGATGGGCACTAAAAGGCAGCAGTCATATATGGCACTGATAGGTGGCACTGAAGGGCAGCTCAGGTGGCACTGATATGTGGCTTTGATGTGCACTGATAGGCACTGATATGTGGCTTTGATGTGGCATTGATGGGCACTGGCAGGTGGCACAGCTAGGGCTACACTGATCATCAGCGCACATTGATCATCAGTGCCCTGATGATCAGTGTACATGTCCCCTCTGAGTAATGCCGATTACCGGCTCTCCTCTCATCACGAGCTGTCAGCGTGACAGCTTGTGAGGAGAGAAATGCCGATACCCGGCATTTCCTTATTTACATGCAATCCACTGTGATTGGATACAGCTGATCACATGACAGAGCCGATGTCTTCGTCTCTTTCCGTTAATCGGTGATCCTCAGCGCACCACCAATCGCTGCGATGCGCGACCCCAGAGCCGCATATGCGCAGTTAGAGTGGGAGGACGTCATATGACGAGAACCTGAACGAGAGAACCGCCTTGTGCCCGTCATTTCCTTATATGGCGGGCGGGAGGCGGTTAAAAAAATAAATAAATGGCCGGAACGGGAAATGACATCGCTCCGGTCCTCCAAGGGCATAGAGATGAGTGGTGGCCATCTTTCCTTTACTCATCTCTATGCTCAGCGCCGGGATCGATGGTTTCTCAGGTAAGGCTGAGAACTACAGGGTGGTGGTGAGGGGCGGGGTTTTTTCGGCACCTGTATCGGTGCTTTTTTTTTTTTTTTTCATTTCGGCTGAAAGGGGTGTTTTCAGCTGAAACGTTTCTTCCACCAAAATTTCGGTGCATCCTTAGTACCCAACAGTGGTCACAGGTTGTCAGAAAAATCTTATAAAAAAAGGAAGGAACTCTGTACCATCTCGAACTGATCTTAGAGTTCTTCTGCATGTGTATGTTCAATGAGCCTTTGTGTGTGAGCAAATTAATTTGTTCCCATTCATTTTCATTGAACTGGAGGGCTAGGTCACTTTCCCATTCTGCACACGTTTTCACAGAGTTAGGCTGGCCATACACTATACAATTTTTGCCCAATTTCCTTGAGATTTACCTTCAACTATGTAATACAAGGGCCTGCCTAATTGGACACAATTGAATGTGTTGTTTGGGTTTGACCTCATATTATATGGTTTTTGGTCAATCTAAACCAAAAATCTCAAGAAAATTGTATAATGTATGGCCAGCCTCAGAGGTACAAGTAGAAAAGAACAGGGAAAATAGGTCAGAGACTAAATGTTGATGGGGTCTGATCCTAAACACCGTTCTGCGTTCCGAATCATTGAGGAAATGGCAAAGTTACATACATGTCCAGAAGGGAACATTTGACTGCGGAGCTAGGGTTTCCAAAGCTTCCCAAGCATCGAACTTCCCTCTGTGGAAGAATTTATAAGCTCGTGGGAGACTCTTCTTATGTGACAGTTGTGGTGCTTGGCAATTGGCCATTATGCCACGGGGACAATTCAAAGCCCTGTGTAAGCTCTGGCTGGAACCGACTCAGAGCATACACACAGATTCATTCATTGCTTCTGGTGGTGAATGGAGGAGCGATAGGACCAGACATATAAGATGCTTTGTGAGCCAGCTTTGATGTGAACCACTGATTCTCATTATTTTACTAAATGTTTTGTTTTTTTAGTGTGATCTTCTAATGGTATGTTTTTACATGTGTGTTTTGCTTTTTCTTTGAACAGTGTGACCCAACTGAGTAAAAAAAAAAAAACGTAAAGAACTTTTTCATCAAATTATGGAAGGATTTTCATGATTATGTTCAGCATCAACATCTGAATGTTAAAGAGAATGCAAGATGGATCATTTAGATGTACAACATATACAAGGAAATGATTCTGGTAGCTCTGGTGTTGATTTTCCCCAAAGTCAAGAGCTATTTAGTGACCAAGAATATACAGAACATGATACAGAAGAGGATCGTGTCATCATCCCACATGAAGCACACACTTCAAGCCACAATGACAACAGGTAAGGACAACGTGTATTGATTTGTTCCTTAAATGAACTTCTCTTTTGCTAAATAGCAGAATTGAAGCAAATCACCAGTTAAAACATTTTCCTTTTTTTTTTCTAGTTTTGGACAAAGTAGAAAAGGGTTAGAGCCCCAGATAGATTTTGATTGTTTCTGTAAGCAGTGAGCCATTTTTCCCTTCTCTATGAGCTCACTAAGAGGGGAAGTAAGAAAATCTCTCAAACAATAGCACAGGTCATAATAATACGTATTTGAAGTAAAGCTGTCCATAGATAGATCAAATCTTGGTTGGTTCAGCATGGATACATTGATTCGACTTCAGTACAACCTGCCTGTTGGATTTTTTGCATGCAATTACTGCTGGCAACTCAGTTTTCTGTTCTGATTAGACACCTCATGTGCTTTCATAATAAATTGTATCCAGAGGCAAGTGGTTCCTTGTGTAAATATTAGTGAATTTTCATTTACAAAATAAATTGCATTCAGCTGATCCATGTGTAAATCCAGTAAAATCAGTCTGTATATGCAGTAAAGCATGCTTGTTATACTCACTGTGGAACCTAAGGGGTTAATCCTCTGCATTGTGTAAAAAAGCTGTTTGATCCTGATTTCTCTGATCCTCCCCTTCTTCCAGTGTCCCCCTCTTATCTCCTGATAAGACGTGTGGAGTCACTCTGCACTTGCTCAGTTTGGTGTGTATTGCTAGAGGTTTTTTTTTTTTCTTGAGTGCATGTGATCAGCACAGAGCAAATCAGCACTGTCCAGACAGAGGTCGGGTTCTGCATCCTCCTAGATCAAAAAAAAAAAATCCACTTACAGGCTTTTAGAAGTGCTCTGCTGAACACTGATAGAAGTCACAATTCTGCTCTTACAGCTAAGAAAAGGCGTTTAGCAGTTTTATATTTACTAAAATAATTGCATTTCCATGTAGTGTGTACTGTGGGAGACCAGATATAGTGAATGAACGGTCTTGGGTTTAGTAACACTTTAAGCTGATCATACACCAATATAATATTTTTTGATAGAATTAATTTTCATTTGATTTTCTAATGGCTAATGGCTTATATCAAAGCTTGCTTTTGACTTCAGTGCTAAGGAAAATCAAAAGAAAAGCATTTTTCTCAAATTATCACATTTCTAATTGTGGTTTTTGTTTGAGAAAAAAAATTATACTAATTGTAATGGCACATGAGCATCTTGAAATCAACATAGGATCCAAAACATTGGCAATTGAACAAACATTTTCAGGGTTTTGTCAAGTTCATTGTGGTTTTTTTATTGAATACTATGACAAACGTTTGTTCTGAAATTCTGTACGATTGCAATTCTACTAGTTTATGGCCAACTTTAGTGAACTGAAAAAAAAAAAATACTTTTCTGTTGTTGTAAAATTATCAGATAATGTGCACGAATAAAAAAAAAAAAAAAAAACAAAGCATGCACTCCAGAGTGGCTGCATAGAATTTCTACAGGTGGGTTACCGAAGGCTGGCCATACAGGTTGTGTTGTTTTTTTTTTTGTTTTTTTTTGTTTTTTTTTTTTTTTTCTCTCATTCAGTTGGTTCAAACAGATTCCTCCATCCACACAAACGAGGCGGATGGAGGAATCCCCCTTCCCATGACATACTGTGGGTTATTTACTAAAACTGGAGAGTGCAAAATCTGGTGCAGCTCTGCATAGAAACCAATCCGCTTCCAGGTTTTATTGCAAAACCTTAATTGAACAAGCTGAATTTTGAAGCTGATTGGCTACCATGCAGAGCTGCACCAGATTCTGAGTGCTCCAGTTTTAGTAAATCACCCCCACTGACAGAAGTACACGGATCAGAGGCTGCAGCCACTGATCGTTGGAAAATGTATTGACATGTCCCTTCAACAGAAGTCAATTAAATAATCAACCTTTTAAGAAGCAGAGGAGGACGCACACAATATATGACCAGTTTAAAATCCCAGTCATTCTTTTTTACTATCTGTGACACCTCAGTGTGAATATTCCTTTGTTCCAGAGACACAGCAGAGATCAGAGTTCTCACCAAAGGGTGGGGATATTCCTCCTAATCTAGATGTCATGGGAACAGGTTTCTCCATTAAAAGATTTCCCCTCACTCCCATTTCCTTCATAACTCAAGTATTTTCTCTATCCCATCGCTTACTGCACTAGTAACATTTGCCACCAGGGCCAATACAGAGGGTAAATCCCCTTAGTGGGAATACAGACATCAGTAAAAACCTGACAGAAGATCAAAAGTTGGATATACACCTAAAGATTTCTAAAAAAATATAAGTAAACCGCGAAAATCAAAAACCCCTCCCTAAATAAATCACATATATCAAATCCATACAATGTATAAATCAATAATCAAAAAATATCAATAAATATTAAATAATACAGTGTCCAAAAAAATATATAATATAAATAAAAGTCCTTCTTCCCAAATATTTTGTGCAAAAAACCTTTTAACAAAATCCTCCTGAAAAAATGTGTGCTTCCACCATCCACCAGTGTGAAACCAACATCAACCGCACTCACCAGATGACCGTGAGTATTGCGGCTTTTTAGGATTTTAGGTACCTAAACCCCCTCTAAAGCCTCCAGGATTCCTTTCCACCATATGAGGCTTGGGATTCTCCTTCCACTCACTCCTGATTTCTCCTTCCAACCAAGCTCCACAGCAGTGCAAGAAAGAAAAATAAAATAGTGTAATACTGCTAATACCCCTTCAGTACTAGTAATGATACCAGGCCACTCACATTTTAAGAGATGAATAAAAGCATTAATTTCCTCCATCGGCTAGCATAAATTCCATGACATCCACATCAGATTCAGAAACCTCACAGGCTATTTTGCAGAGGATGACAGAACACAGCTCCAACAATAATCAAAGCTGGCCGCTTGGAAACGCACCGCTCGGCGTGCGTTCCACTCACTGGAAGTGACGCAGGACGTAAGGACGGCAGACCGGAAGTGCGTTGACGCGTTTCACCCCTCCTACAGGGCGTTCTCAAGACCTAAAGATTTCTGATTGAGAGAAATTCATAGGTCCCCTATCCATGCTAAATGGTATGATTGGACGAATCTTCTTCTGGCAGCTATTGTGTTGGTTTCCAGGACCTGTGTCTGTCAGAATACTCAAATATTGATGCAATAGTAATTAGTAGTTTTGAATATAGTAGCTGTGTGCCACTTTATTACTATTGCATGGGAATATATGATATTGTCAGCTGGCTACACTAATATCTACAGAATATATATAGGTTACAAGGAGCGTGGGAGTACCACACATATTCAATACTCAAACATTGCCCGCAGCTTATTGGCTGCTGTTACTGTTAAGCTGACTTTGCACAGCCCATCTCCTACAAGATCTCAATTGAAGTTTGTTCAGCCAGGTGCTGATGGCAGGGTCACCTATGACTTGAAGTTCGACTAATTCACAGGCATTGACCAAAATTCGAGCTGAGCATGGCCAGCTTCTTCCATATGCTATCCAAAAACAAAAATACAAGTTTTTGTATAGAGATAAAATCTATAAATCTTGCATAAGACTTCAGTGATTGGATTTACATATACTCTTTACACAATAAGCTTGGTTTATGAGCTATACATACACATTTAATTTGTTCTTGAACAGATCTTCAGCTTCCTAATCCTTCTTTTTTTTTTTTTTTTTTTTTTTTCTTTTTTTTACCGCTGCTTATCTCGTAGTGGGTTCTCCACTGTTTGGATATTCACCCACCCAGCAGATCCAGTGTTGTCCTGTTGTGATTCTCTTCTCAGCAGCTGCTTCTCAGGTCCCACGCCGCCATGTTTGTTGTGTGATGTCATCGGGAATCTTGCCGACTCTTCCAGGTTCAGCTGTTGGACCTCCCAATAATGCGCCCAACCTCTGTGAATGAAACACTAAGGCCTCCTGGGATACATGACATACATATCCCAGGAAGCACAGCTGGCACAGTACACAACATTCGCCAAGGTGTGTATTAAAGACAGGACAGAACCCTTTTTTTTTTCTTTCTAAAAAAAGGGGTAAAAAAAACAAGAAAAAAATTCGCTATGCAGGTATCAGAGCAGGGAAGTGAGAGACAGACAGAACTTTCAATTTGTGGGTGAAGATTTGCTTTAAATAGTTGTTACTGTAGGACATGTATGTTAAAATAAACAAGTACAACAAGACAAACCCATCAGTTAGGCTAATGTCACCCAGCAGATTAGCAAATCTGTCACTGGTGGGAATTTCAGCAGCACAGTAAGTATAAATTTATTTTACAGTAAAGTGAATAATTTCTCTATTTTATTTCAGTAATTTATTTGAGGATCAGTTTGTTTGTACACCTAAAAGAACTCAACGAACTCGAGGATGCAAAAAGCTGACTTCCCCTCCCATTCAGAATACAGACTCTGATGAATCTTCAGATTATGAGCCGCCACCCAGAAAGCTTACCTTAAAAGAGATTTTTGACAATCATTTTAGAAAGGAAAGAAAAAAAAAGACGACAAAAAAAAAGACAAAAAAGAAGCGACCTCAGAAAGTCGACAAAAAAAGAAAAACCCTTCTACTCCATTCCTTTGGAACAAAGAAAAAGAAGATTGCTTCATTGTGGAATTAGGTTTCCTTTTGCATCAAAAAAAACACTTATCGTTGAAATTGTGTTTTGCATATGAGGTGAGATACTTTCAGTTAATATACTCTTCTTCTTGTTCACACAAAACTGGAAATTCAGTATTGTGTGGACTTATTAAATTTAGATATGCAAGCTGTATACATTTGTAGTTTCAAAGATGAGATCCTCAGATCAGTTTTTGTTTTTTTCGCACCATAACATCTTGAATACTAGCTGAAATTATAATAAAGGCTAGTGAGTTCTGTAATTGGTTTACTGGTGGACCTATACTTAAATGTTAAAGGATAAGTTCACCTTTTTCACCTTGTTGCATGCATGGTAGGGTCTTAACATTTAACAAGATTCAAATGCCTCCCCTCCTCAAACTGCACCAGTTATCAGTGCACTCGTAGTCCATTGAATCTTCCTCCAGCTGTCCCAACTGACAGCCTGTACAGAGGTATGGGCAGAGAGCTGGAGGAAGAGTTTGCAGGAACCTGACATTACCCCGTGATCCACACGTGGGTGCAGTGCTTTGCAGGCTCTTGTAAAAAAAAAAAATGTGTGTGTGTGTGTATAAATATAATTTTTTTTTTTTTCTTTTTATCAATGATGAACCCAGCCTTTAAAGTGTATCTATAGCAAGAAAAAATGTTTTTTTTTTTCTAGTTTGGGATGGTGTGGAGAAAAGTAAAAACCCCTGTTACTATCCAGGGCTTCATTACAAAGGTTTCCCCTCATTTTCTGTTTTGGTGACACAGTTTTATCAGACAGAAAGAGAAGGAAAATCTTTTTACTTCTGTCCATGTTGCCATTAGGAATTCCCTCACTTCCTTTCTGGTGAAAAGTGTGTCACCAAAACAGGAAATGAGAAATATCTCTAACGGGAGGCCTGTAAAATCTGACACTAATCCTTTACCCACACCATCCAAAACGGAGGGAAAAAAAAGTAGGCTATTGATACACTATCGCCCTTTGCACCAGCCATACGCACCCTCTGTGGGTGGGTCTTACCACCGAGTGACTGCATATATGCTTACCTAAAGAAAAGCGGAGCTGTGCCAAGAGCACGCACCCTGTACAGTTACAAGAGGCTAATGGGACACTCCTGATCTCTTGCAATCAGGAGCTTTCCGATCATGTGACGGCTGTGGAAGCCAATCACAGTGGTCACATGATCAAACCCCGCCTCCCAGCATTTGAAACTCCTTAAAGGGCTGGGAGATGCCAGTGGCGAGGGGTTAACATAAATTTATGTTAACATTCTTACTGTGATAAATACATAGAAATTAATACCAGGGTAGAAATGCTTTCCTTTGCTGGAGAAATTATGGTTTTAGACTCCCTTCAGTGATTGTCACATGTGGAGGTGTAAGCCCTTAAGTCTGTCATAGATGAACTGAAATTTTGCCAATTCAGCAGGAACCAGACAAATTTCGAACCATCTATGGGCAGGCTAAATGTACTGAATTCTACCAATTGGCTTTAATACAACCAGACTTTTATTTTCTATTCCATGTGATCACTGCTGGAGGCTATAGCTTCTAGCAGTGATCATTGTATTCTGCCAGTGGGGAAGGCTATGCATGAACCCTGCCGGCAGAACAGAATAGTACTGCAGGAGGCATTCCCCCAACCCTTGGTTGAAGGAAAGAAAATTGCATAATGTATGTATGGCTAGCCTTTTACTTTTTGTTGAAATGGAGAATAAGAGCTCCAACTATCTTTCAGCAAAAATCATATAACCATGTGCAGAGGCTTTCAGACATGTGGCAAGCACTAAAGGGAGTCTGGAACAGTTATTTCTCCAGGATAGGAAAACATTTCATCCTTTCTGTTAGTTTCTATTAATCCAACATAGTAGGACTGTTACTATTGCTTTATGTAAACATTTCAGTTAAGTTCACGATAAAGTTCCGTTTCACACCAGGCCCACATCTTCATCTCAAAGGAACAAGCTGCGCATTCCTGTGCAATTCACATGCAGTCCTGTGCGGTGCGATTTCAGCCCATTCATTTTGATTGGGCTGAAATCGCACTGCATCAAAAGTAGTGCATGCACTACTTTTTAAAACTCACTACAACTGGATCGCATGGTACAAAAGTACATTGTGATCCTTTGCGGGCAAACGCACTGCATTTGTGACCTGTGTTTGAGGTGTTGTTAACTTTTTATTGACAACCGCTGAGTATTGTAAATGTAGTGCGCTTGAATGCGGTTTGGAACGCACAACGCGCTCTGGTACAATTCAGATGCGGACATGGTTTGAATTGCCACTGAAGGAACACTTCTTCTGTAGTAAATTCTCACTTTTTTGTTCATCAAGTGTCACTCATTGAACATTTTAGGCACCTTATCTCTGTTTTTTGGAACAGCAGATCTGCTGTATGGGTCAGGATGTAGGTTTGTGCATTTCAAGAAGGATTTCAGGCTACAGCTTAATGTGCAGGTAACATATCTAAACTGTTTCAGATTGTTTGTTTTTCAGCCCCTCTCATGATTGACACACCTCTGGTGATTCCACAAAAGGGTCACTGTTTCAAAAACTGCTCGTCTAAAGAAGCCAATCAGCTTCCAACTATCCTATCTGAATGAGAACACTTTCCCAATGTTTTTATACATCAGCCAGTCAGCTGTTTGCTAGCTTATCTTGTTCTCTGTCTGCTCTTGGGCTTGTGAACAAACATGATCACATGTCCTCACCTACAACATCAGAGTGGTGACACTATGCTACTTTTTTTTATTAATCCATTTGATTCATGGAATAAGTACTTAACTAGACATTTTTTCTTTTTTTGCTTTGGGTTCCAGTAGTTGATGATTTGCTTCTCTCATTTTGTCTCTATTCATGGGCCTCCTATTGCCGAATCTAAATCAACCTAATGCTAAGCTGGACACTTTACGACAGTACTTTGAGTACATTATGTCCTCTTTGGATGTAACTTTTGCATTCTATTGAATTACGTTACATTGAATTCTAAAAGTTTGTATATTTTCTCATGCAGCAATACGTCATTGGTGGTTTTCTGAACTATGTAAAAAGCCTTAAATATAAGAACCATTTGCAAAAATCTCTGGTGAATATGAAAGTGGGTGAAAAACTGGAGGAAGGAAGTCTTGAGACAAGAAAATTCAAATACCTGGATGATGACAAGTCTCTTTCACCTATTTCTGAGTCTGGGTAAGCTTTGGGAGCTTGATGGATATGCATTGTTAGTATGTGTTCTGGGGGCAAACGAGTTATCCCAAAGCCTCATTCACACAGACATTTGAAGGGATGGGCAAGGTCTGGTGTAAAAATCCTGGAGTTTTTCCTGTGCCCAGAAGCTGCAGGTGATGCATAAAGCTCTACATAGAGGTAAATGGCTGAGCGCACTTGTACTAGTGTAAACACTGATTCTTTTTCACATCAACATTTACCCATGCATGCATATGTAATGCACTCCCTGAACATGAAACTTCTTTGTTTGGGGATCACGCACAAACACTGATTCAAAAAAGCATCTCCTTTCACAAGAGTACAAGCACCTACAGCTGATAACGTCTGTAGCTCCCTGGTCAAAAGAAAACACAGATATTTTTACTCCAGACCTTGGCTATGCTTCCAGAAGTTTGTGTAAATGAGGCCAAAATCTAGAGGGTGTTACTGTATGCTGATTCAATATTACAACAGATGAACAGCACAGTGGCTTAGTGGTTAGCACTCCTGCCTGGTAGCACTGGGGTCCTCCATTTGAATCCTGACCCAGACACTAACTACGTGGAGTTTGCATGTTCTCCTTGTGCTTACTTGGTCTTCCTCCAGGTACTCCAGTTTACTCACACACTTTAAAACCTGCTGATAGGTAATTGGCCCCTGTCTAAATTGGTCCTAGTGTGTGTATGTATATACTGTATGTGAGTTAGGGACCTTAGATTGTAAGCTCCTTGATGGCAAGGACTGATGTGAATGTACAATACGTAAAGCCAGAATTAGATCAATACTTGTTGTTATAAATAAATGAATTGTAACAGGAGAACCCAGCCATGTGACTTTGATAAGTCAGGTGACGGCACACATCTCTCACCAAGTTATTGTTTATTTAGTTTTGTAAAGTTCATTAAAATGAATGGGGCATTGGAAACCTAAATCCAAAAAGCAATAAGCACATGGCAGCGGTAAGGCTGTACTATTGCTTTTTTTACTGAGACTCTTGGGTCTCGTTCACATACAGTACCTAGGCATATACCCGTGTGTGTTTTGCCAATAGGGGTAGATAGTTCTGTGTAGGCAGTCCCATGCATGTCAATTGGGATGCAGTGGCTGCATGGACACAGCCGCTATTCTCAATTTGACATCTGTGTGAGTCTGTGAACACAGACACTGTGCATTCGGGGACATGCACATACACAGATGACAATTTGGAAGAGCAGTGGCACTTTCTCAATTAACATGAATGGGACTTCCTTCACAGAAATGCACAGAACACCTGTGCATCCATATGCAGGAAAACATGGCCCCTGCACAGATGTAATCTTAAGTGTGAACCAGGCCTTACAGTTGTACTTTAATAGTGGCCACACACTTATAATTATCATGAAATCATTAATTCAAGTATATTAAAGTGATCAAATTGAATAAAAGCTGCAAACCAAAGACCCTCTACTCAATCGTTTTAGTGAGCTCAGCTCAAGTCTGTTGGCAACAGCAGAATTTTATCAATGGCATCTGATTAATCAGATATCTGCATGTGTGTCATACAACTAATCATCATACAGATCATTTTAGTAGGTTGTTTTAAATGTATCAATGAAAGAGACTGTTTAAAGGATAAGTTCACCTTTTAGACAAAAATAATAAATGCACATTTTTTTTGCAGGTAAAAAAAAGTGCATTTATTATTTTTTATCTACAGGAGCCTGGAAAGCATTGCACCAGCGATCAATAGTTTGCTGATGCCGTGCAGGTTTCCTGCAGGCCTGTCAGAATATCTGCTTGCATTACGGGATGTACAAGCAAGCAGAT